TGTTGCGTGATGCCGGAGACCCGGGTTCGCGCCCAGGCAGTGAGGGGCAAACTGGCAGGGCAGGAGCGGTAAAGGCAGAAACCCTAAGAACCGGTACACAGGCAAAATGTGGGGCCCCAGCTCTCACTGCTTGCAAACTCAGGAAAAACTGGCCATAAGGAAAATACAGACTTAGTCCGCAGGGAGGCTTTTCAGAGGGGAAGAGAGGTTACCGGAAGACCCTACCCCAGGAGGTTAATGGATATCGATAGACACCAGTGACATAAAGCCAGTCCATCACAGGGTGCAATTTAGAGGTGCAATGTAGCCTGTTGGTGCAACAAACAGTGCAGGCGTGTTTGGACTGCGGGAGGGAACTGAAGCACCGGGTGAAAATTTGTGTGACTGCAGGGGGGGGGAACATACAAACTCTACACAGGAGGCAGTCCAGACCAGGATCGAACCCAGGACGACCCAAGTCCCAGCATTTCTACGGGGTCTTTACCACATACCTTATTTCTGCTGAAGTATAAAATCTAAAAAAGGTTAGTAGACGGACGGACGGACTAAAAATATATTTTTTTAAATCAATAATTACAAAAGCTTTAATAATTAAAAACGGTTTACACTTATATAGCACTTTTCTGGACACTCCACTCAAAGCGCTTTACAGGTAATGGGGATCCCCTCCACCACCACCAGTGTGCAGCCCCACCTGGATGATACCCAGTACTCTCCCCACACACCAGCTCTCAGTGGGGAGGAGAGCAGAGTGATAAAGCCAGTGCAGAGATGGGGATTATTAGGAGGCCGTGATTGGTCAAGGCCAATGGGATTTTAAAAAAAAAGATCAAAATGTTAGAATTCATAAGAGCCCATTACACCCAAAAGAGAAAGCATTGAAACACACCTAATTTCAGCAACAGAAGTTTTTGAGTTATCCATTGTATAGTGCGCTTCCAAGTGCCTCATTGAGAAACCCTGAAAAGACGAAAATGCAAGATAGGTTTTTACAATCTAGTTTAAAAAACAATAGGTGAAAACAGCAACCGTAATGAGTTTTGCTTCTATTAATGCGTCGAAAACACACAAAAGCCCAGCACCTGCTATTGTTCTACGTTGAAGGATGATAACGATGTTCTGGCCGCACCTAGACACGATTTCGAGCGTCATGAGACATCGCCTCCTGCTCACACCCTGTCGGATCATGTGTTCTTATATGGGCCAGGGGAAAAAAAAAATGTAAGAAAAATGTATTTACCGCAGCAGTTGCGAGAGGCGATGGAGCGATAAAAAGCAAAGAAGCACAAGAGAAATCAGGGCTACGGTGATCCGCACGGCAGTGAAAACGACAGCGCGGAAAGTCAGCGCAGAACTGGGCCGGGATGTGGGCGAAGGGACGAGTGAGCAGTTCAGACCCAAGAAAACACCCAGTCCGGTCTAACCGGCTCCCGCCTGGCTCTTACGACACGCTGCAGGACAAGTCTCGTCCAGCTCTCATTGGTTAAGCGGAGAGAAGGCGAAGGACGCCCCGCGCTCACCTGTGTACTCCTGCTGTTACTACCGCCCAGACCGATTCACACCCGCAAACCCTGCCGGAGCCGCAATGGGCGCACTCCTGCTGGCTGCTCTGGGTCTCCTGCTGGCCGCCGCTGACGCGGGTATGAGGGAAGAAGGAGAAGAACTAATTAGAAATACCCGAAGGCGATCACAATGACAGATTGCGCCAATGCAGTACGAGCAACAAAATACGGATGCTTCCCTTGTGAAGACAAACACAGTGTCTGAATTTTAAAAGCGTATTGATTAGTCGATGTGATCTATTGTGTTGAGTAAGACACTTGCAGTTTGATTCATTCCAGTTTGTACTGCAAAATAAACTGGCTTCTTTAACTCCTCAATTTAATAGGCGACTTATTCCGACTCCCAACGAATCTAGGCAGTGTCATTCCTGTTTACAGTGACACCATTTCTGCGACTTATATTTGTTAAAATATTATCTTTTTTTTTCTCCAGATTTCACGGTCAATGTTCTCGGTGAATCCGATGGCCTGGTCACTGGACAGCTCTCCGACTCGGTGATTCTCAGTCTGCCTCCCTGCTCCCTCGCCGGGAACACCGTCAACATGGTGTATCAGCAGGGCGGCACTCAGAACAAGGGTGAGTCTGGAGGCTGTTGTGCATTGCAACGTTTTATAAGTGATTTCCTTAGAGAGAGGATTAAAAGAAAATTTGCGGTTCATGGAGGTCCGGTGTGTTTCCGCGCCCTGTGCGGTCGTGTTGAAACGCGCACAGGGGTTCGAACCCCGTCACCCCGAAACAGGAAACACACAACCAGTGCCTTTGCTCGTGTTTGACTGCATTATGCACTGTATAATGTACAATGACTAAGGTGTGCCACCACAGTTAATGTTCAAAAGGTTTGAACATTAAAAAAAAAAGTTTGTTTTTTTCGCTACAGGAATATGAATTAAACTCCCCCCCAAGCAGTGTTTTCAGAGAAGAGTACTGTATGTATCCACGGTATGACAGCTGCAATTCTAGACTACCTTTTTGTTAATTACCTTCATTTGTCTAAAATTAAAAATATTTATTATAATTATTCTTCTGACAGAATGCTTGGTATTCAAAGCCAAGCACTTTGATTAGACCCTTGTTAAAAAAACAATGAATATCTTCAATAACCTATATGTCATGTATTGGTACACTCATTAATAATAGTATAGTTAATATAAAGTGGAGCAGTGGTTAGCACTGGGACCCTGGGTT